AAAAAAAAAAAAGGCCAGGATGTAGCTTAGTGCGAAGCCCTTCAGTTCAGTGTCCAGGACCAAATAAAGGAATAAATAACTCAATTTCCCTGGAAGATGATTCGTGCCAAGGGAGGGGAGGGGACACATTCATTCAACAAGACTGCTGGCACTGTCTCTGCCATCCCTCTGAGGCCTACAGTGGTGTCCTTGCCAGGAGAGCACAGAGACAAGAGCCTCAGAACAGCTGGGCCTGGTGGCACAGGCCTGGAATTTCAGCATGTGGGAAGCTAAGGCATGACGATTGCCATAAATTTGAGGCCAGCCTGGACTACATAATTAGAACCTGTCTCAAAACAAAAAACCTTGACAAACGAACATATCCAGTAAATGCTAGCAGGAGAAGTGAGGTACAGAGAGGACAGGGACCCTGCAAGGGGCAGCGCTGGGGAGGGGACAAGTGGCCTTGTCCTGAGACCCAAGCCGGGTGGGACAGGGTGCCGGCTGCAGGGAGAAAAGCCGGTGTTGGTGAGTTTGGGTTTTACTCTGCGTCAGCAGAAAGCCCTTGGAGTATTTTTTTGAACCATGGTGATGTGATTTAGCTTATTGATTTCTTTTGAGACAAGGTCTCCCTGTGTAGTCCAGGCTGCCCTTGAACTCACAGAGATCCTCCTGCCTCAGGCTCCTGAGTGCTGGGATACAGGTGTGTGCCACCATGTCTGGCCTGTTTTTTCCTTTTTCTTAAGGCAAAGTGTCTTGCTGTAATGTCTAGGCCAGTGACAGAGAACCTTTTAGAGCTTTCAGACAACCTGCTGTGGCATGTGTGCCCTAGGCTTGCCAAGCTGGAACTACCCTGCTTCATCTTCCCAAGTAGTGGGAATGCAGGCTGCTGGGATTTGGCCATGACTGGGCTGGATTTGCATTTTTAGGAGCTCTTTGGCCGTGTGGGTGGGAACGCAGGAAGGGAGATGGGCTGGGAGCTGGGGGGCTGGACAAGGCTGGAGGCTGGAGTGGGCACAACAGGGCTTGGCGGTGGGGCCGTGGCTCTTGCTGTGAGGGCGGCCATTTGGGAGCAACTTGGGGAGGATCGAGTTGCACTGTGGACACTGCTGAGTCCAGGAGGGCGTTGGAGGCTGAGCTGACACCTGGAAGGGGAGGGGAGGGGCATGGGGAGCGCGCTGAGGCCCTGGGGGGCAGGGCAGGGGGCCCTGAGCCAGGAGGAAGAGGCTGGGTGAGGGCAGCTCTGCTGGCGCCTCCGAGGGGCCTGATGTAACCAGCTCCGGGCGGGAGGCCCCAGGATGTCCTCTTCCTCCGTCCTTGGCCCCTGTCACCGCGGGAGGGCGGGAGGGCGGTGCCGGGTGGAATGCCTCGATGTTACTGCTTGGGGCAGCCCCGCATGCCGCAGGAAGGCTGCGCCGGACAGCAGTGTGGCTGGGCCTGGGGAAGGAAGCCCCCTGAGACGGATGGGGGGGGCGCTGCAGCTGTCACCCGCGTCCTGCCCCAGGCCCTGTAATTAGGGCGCTTCCCCACGCCGCGCCACCTGGGGGTCAGATTTGCTCCCATTCTTTGGCCTCGGATAGCTGCCAAGGAGGAAAGGTGGGGCCCTGTGAGCCTGGAGATGACAGGTGGGTGTCTGTCGCTGCAGGGTGTGGAGGGGGGGGTAAAGACAAAGGTGGGGTGGCCCAGGGCCAGGTCACTGATGGGGAGAGCCAGCAGCTGGGTGCTGGGCTAGGGGCCTCAAATAAGCGACGCCACCATAGCTACATGCTGGCCTGGCCTTCAAACGGGTTTGACCAGTTGGGTTCTAATGGGATTTCCTGTCATTGGGCGGCCCCTCCCCATAGACTGGCCTCCTGCCCTATAAAGGCTCTTGGGGATCCCACGCACCCAGACTCAGCACCCCGTCTTTGGGGGCCAGCAGACAGCCATGAAACTCAACTGGATGCTTGTGGGGGTCCTGGTCCTTGGCCTGTTTGCTGGAGGTGAGCCCGGAAGACACCAGGAGTGGATCAGGGTGAGGGGGTGGCTGAGGGGACGCACCCTTGGTGAGGGTGACCATTAAGGCACAGGGAGCCGGGCGTGGTGGCGCACACCTGTAATCCCAGCACTCGGGAGGCTGAGGCAGGAGGATCGGTGCGAGTTCGAGACCAGCCTGGGCTACAAAGTGAGCTCAAGGCCAGCCGGAACTGCACAGCGAGACCTTGTCTCAAAAAAAAAAAAAAAAAAAAAAAAAAGGCAATGGGTACACAGGGTAGCTGCACTGGGTGCAGGGGCTTGGGCACGCCCATGAAGGGAGAGAGTGGGGCCTGTGGGGGTGCAGGCAGGTACAGTTTACCAAAGATTTTGCTGGTTTGAGTGAAGCCATGGGGCGACCGCGGAGCCCAGAGGGGACAAGTGTTCACTGGAGCAGGGGCTGTGCTAGGGACATAGGGACAGGTGCGGTCTGTAGCTCACTTCGGGTGCAGACCAGTCCAGGCCCAGGCCGGGGACGTCCCTGTCGGGATGGGTGGAGTTTATCGACAGAGGGCGATCCAGGCACATAAAAACCATGGTTCAGAGCAGCCTGGTATTGCTTCGCTTTAAGACTGCATCAGTGGGGCTGGGGATGTAGCTCAGCCGTGCAGTGCCTGCCTGGCAAGCACAAGGTCCTGAGTTAGATTCCCAGAACCACAAAGACAAAACAAGACTGCTTCGGTGTTGGGGAGACATCTGGAGATGCCCTGAGAGCCGCTTTGCCGTCCGTGGGCTCAGCTCAGGCTGTGTCCCCGAAGAGAGGCTGTAGCTGGTCCTGCAGCTGGGGTGTGGGGAGGTCGGTCCCTCACCACCTCTTCCGGTTGCTCCTCCTCGACAGGCATCTCAGGCAGTGAGGACCGCCCCTCTCCCCCATCCACAGAGGCCAGAGAAGAGGAGGGCCCCCCACCACTGCCTCTCGGCCCTCCGATCCCTGGCGACCCCTGGCCAGGGGTACCCCCGATCTTCGAGGACCCTCCACCCCCAGGTCCCAGCCATCCCTGGGGAGACCTGCCCGACAGTGGAGCGTGGCCCCCTGAGCCCCCTAGCACCGATCCCCCCCAGCCTCCCCGGCCTGATGACCCTTGGCCGGCGGGACCCCAGCCGCCAGAAAACCCCTGGCCACCCGCCCCCGAGGTGGACCACAACCCCCGTGAGGAGCCCGACCTTGACCCACCCCGGGAAGAATACAGATAACGGGGTCCCCTGCAGAGAGCACCCAAGCCCATGTCTACCCCTCTGCTTCCTTTTAAAGTCTCCACTTTTGTCTGACTTTTTTGTCTGCACACCCTCAGTTTTATTCTGAGCTCGAACTTGTCCTCAGTAGCTAGGGACCCACGTTCAGGCTGCACATTCCCCTTCCTTTTTTCTCTGACACCAAAGCACACTCCTACCTCACCCACTCCTCTCCCTGCCCCTGCCTCCACCTCCACCCTGTCGCTGGGACCTGGGACGCTGGACAGGGCCAGCAGCACTGTGCTGCCCGCCGCCACCTGGTGGCCTACAGCTGGGGCCCACCCGTAGACCACGTACTTCAGCAAAATGGAAAGAATAAAAAATGTTTTCTCAATCTTGAATCTAAGCAGCTTTTTTTTTTTTTTTTTTTTGGGGGTCCCAGGGATTGAACTCATGACCTGCCGCGGAGCTGTATCCCCAGCCCCTAAGCAGCTTCTTTACAACGATTAGGTTTTGAATATTCAGATCCCTTCTTTGCAGCCCTAAATCTACAGAGATCCGGAAGTAATCTGACTCCTGCCCTGCCCAAGGGCCAGGCAAAGGGGCCGCGGGGGGGAGGACTGGACCTGCATCTGCCAGAGTGCAGGGACACCAGCGCCTCGTCCCTGCCTTTGTGGGACTCCTGTACTGAAGAATGGGAAGACAAGCCAGGTATTTCTCTAACGGCATATGGTCTGCGCACCCCTGGGGTACATCAGACTTACCGAGGGGCAGTGGGCAGCTTTAAGGGCATCAGTTTCCAGAGGCAAGTGTGGCCCTTCCTAAAACGAATCTCTTGCCAACTCTGAGCCTGATTGGGTGCGTGTCCTGGAACTGCCAAAGGTCAGTGAAGTATAAACTGGCCCACACCGCCCCACTGAGAGATGCATTTTCCCAGGTGCGGCGGTGCACACCTATAATCCCAGCTCCTCGGGTATGGCAACTCAGTGAGACAGTCAAACTAAAAGGATAGGAGTTGGGACACGATCTAGTGTCTATCAAGTAGCTAACCAGGGGGGCTGGAGATTTAGCTCAGCGGCACAGCACCTGCCTGGCAAGCGCAAGGTCGTGAGTTCAACTCCCGATACCGGAAAAAAAAAAAAAAAAAACCAAAACCAAAAAGTAGTTAACCAGGGGTGGGGTTGCAGAGGGCCTAAGAGGAGCTGCGGTGCGTACCTTAAATTCGAATACCCATCGAATACCCAGTTCACTTACGGGTTACTCCCATTAAAACCGACGGGTGACCGAATGAACTAAACTTAAACAACACACAGAGCTGGGCATGGTGGTGTACACCAGTAATCCCAGCACTCAGGAGGCTGAGGCAGGAGAATCTGTGAGTTCGAGACCAGCCTGGGCTACAAAGTGAATTCAAGGCCATAAAAGTTGTAGAGGCAGCCAGGTATAGTGGTGCTTGCCTACAGTCTCGGCTCTTCAGGAGGCTGAGGTGGGAGGATCTCTTAAACCCAGGAGTTGTCAAGACTAGCCTGGGCAACAGGAAGACCCTATCTCAATAAATAAGCAACAAAACAATTGAAGAAAGAATTGTAGGTTAAGCCCAGTAGAATTTAATAGGCCCGGGAGTAAGCCAAATCCACTAGCTCATTAATTCGCACATCCACTTAAGACACCCGAACCCCTCGCCACCCCCCAAGTGCCGGAAGTCACGGAAGGCATAACAGGAGGAATAAACATTTGTCGTTTCCACTGGCAGGAAGTTGAAAACGAAGCCAGGATAGGCAGGACTGACATACAAGGTTAAATGACAACATCACAGGCAGTGAGGAAGCACATAGCTAAACACCGACGCGAGTAAGCACGGATGCGCCGGCTCAGTGGTAGACGCCAAGCTCAAAGCGGCCCGCGCGCAAGCGCAGCGCCCGCCTCGCACGACCTGGAGCGAGGGCGCCTGCGCGGGAGGAGGGCGCGCGGGGGGTGGGGTGGAATGGGAGGCCGCCCCAGCCGCAGCATAGCGCAGGCGCGGAAGTTGCCCGCGCAGGCGCAGAAGCCGCTCGGTGCTTGCGGACTGCTTTCGGGGACCCGGGAGCCATAGGTCCCCGACGGCTGCAGACTTCTGCCTTCGTGTGGGCACTCCTTCTGCGGGAGTGGCCGTCCTCTCCCAGGCAGTCGTTTCTCCCCAGAGAGGCCTCCACTCCCCACTGTCTGAGCAAAGGCATTGTCCTCCAGCACGCTCTAGCTAACTTGCCCATGTAGTTTCGCAACTTGCAGTCCTCCTGCCTCAGCCTCCCCAGTAGCTGAGATTGAAATTGACTTGAATCTGTTTCAGGGTCTGTTTCTGGGGAGTCTACCCTAGAAAAGTGATTTGCTACTGACCACTGCAGCTTTTTACTCCGCATGCGCCCTGGGGCACTCGTGCTAAATGTTCTATAAGTTAAGGTCTGGGGGCTGGGGATTTAGCTCAGCGGCAAAAGCGCCTGCCTGGCAAGCGCAAGGTCGTGAGTTCGGTTCCCGGTACCGGAGAAAAACAAAAACAAAAACAAAGTTAAAGTCTGGCTTCATTTGCACAATAACCCTACCTTATCACCATTTTGAAGAAGACGGGAGCGGGGCTGAGAGAGGTGGTCATCCAGGGGACAGTTACAGAGCTGGGCTGTGAACTCCGGTGTGCTGTGTGCGCCAACAACTCCTGATTTTACCCACCACCCCTTCCCCTGTCCCTGTGCGTCTGCGGAGCCCAGCGTGCAGTTCCTGGGCCGTACTGGACGCTGATTGCTTGTCTTATCAGTGGCCGAGTCCGCCACCGAATGTCAGGTTCTGGCAAGAGAGCAGGTTGAAAGGTTGGGCTGAGGGGTCCATACCTGGAGAAAAAGATGCCGTTGGACAGGTAGCTCGGGGAAAATGCGCGCAGATCTTGCTGCAGGTTCGGGAGCGCCTGTCTGAAAGTGTCCTCTGTTAGAGCCGTACCCAGGGGAGGAGGGACGCAGGTCGGTGCCGCAGCAGAGAGGTGCGGGAGTGTGGGTTGGGACGGAGGAAAGAAGTCTGGACCCCTCACATAAACCTCACAACCCCCCAAGCCGCTGAGGAGTTAGTTGGGAAACAAAAGAGAAAAAAATGTTCTTAGAGGAGAGAGGAAATGAGGGACCGAAACAGTTCCCGGTGTGGCCCCGGTAAGCAGCTAGGGCTCCTGACGCCACGCGGTCTTACTAAACTCCACAGGCCACGTGGGTTTCCGTGACTTTCTCTTCATGTAAAGTACAACCTCCTGAAACGGGGGCCTGGCCTCGCCTGCGTCTGTAGGCTTTACTTGTCTAAGACAAAGTAATAGCTCCATTTTGCAGATTAGGAAACTGCTCCGAGGCCAGGCATGATGGTGTGTGACTGTAATTCCAGCCTCCTGGAGGATGAGGCGGTAGGATCCTAGGTCTGAGGCCGGTCTGCCTTCCCCCACACAAAGGAGACTCCGCCAAGCACTGGGAGAGGTGACCTCCCGTCTAAGGCACATCAAAGTCAAGGCCAGGTGCAGGCCCACTTGGCTCCAAACCAGTCCTTCTCAGCTGGTACAATGGTGGGCGAGTGAGAGGAAAAGAGAGACAGCGTGAGGTAACTGGGCATTTTAATACCTATTAATAGGCAGTGTGTGTTGGCACTCAAGCGTGCGTGTTTATTAGCTGGGCAGGAGCCTGCGTGGGACACAGTGGGTGGGGTGTTCACACAGGGAGACCCATTGTGCCAGCTGCCCTGCTCGGGTTAGACAGTTCCCACTCCTCTCCCGTCTCCCGTGGCTGACCTCACCCATGACTGTGACCTCCCATGAATCTGGTAGGGACGTGGTCACATCCAATGTCAACACGGAGTCATGGGATTAAATAATAGATAGGATCACAGATGTGTAGAACAATAGCCCAGCCCCTGGGGCAGGCCAGAGAGTCAACAAATGCCTGACCAAGGAAAGAAAGGAACCGAGAACTGGTACCGTGGTGTAATCTAGTGACGGAAGCGGCGGAGTTGCCTGGGAACACACCGGGCACGGCCCTCGGCCTTGGGCAGGCCGGTGCTGTGCTTGGACCGGACAGGCGAGATGCTTGTCGCCCGCTTTGAAGATCACCAGCGGGGGAAACTCCAACCCACTCATTTGGTGCCATGTCTGCCCACACATCCTGTCTCACTGAGCTTCTGCTGAGCGGGGCGCTGGGTGGCGGCAGGAAGCAGTCAGGCCTCCCTGCCCTCAAGGAGCTTTGCATCTAGGGAGGAAACAAACACGTCCATTGTGGCAATCAGATGTGATAAAAGGTAGATTAGAGGGGGCACCGCTGAGGTCAGAGCCCGGGAGGGAAGTCCCAGGTCTTCTGCCAATTGCTTGTTTGAGATTCGTTTGACTGAAAGTTTGCTTTTTAACCTTAAGCGTTCACAGTCTGTCTGTCTGTCTGTCTCCTCCCCTGCCTTCCGTTCTCTTCCGGGATGGGGTTCACTATGTCGCTCAGGCTGCTCTCAGGCTCCCACCTCGTCCTCCCTGGTCCCGAGGACACAGGTATGACCCATCGCACCTGGCTCCAAATCTTTAATCAAGTGCCAGTAGGCGCCCGGCACAGGTTTCAAAAGCGTGACCAAATCCGAAAGGCAGTAACAGTTGCCCCCAGCCTTCCCTTTGCAGCATGATCTCAGCTCCTGTCGGCGATGAGAGCAGCAGCGTGTGACTGCCTTGTCCCCGCTCAGCTGTCCGCTCTGCATGACCTTGCGGTGTGACCTTAGACCGAGTCTCGCCCTGGCGGTGCTGAGAGCGGCTCTCCTGCGTATGTCTCGCTCGGCCACCAGAGGGCAGCCTAGCGGCCTAGCGCAGGTGTTTTTCTGGGCGCCCTCTTAACCCTTTGCCTGGGTAACCTCCTCCCTGTCAGCACTCGGGGAGTCCTCTTAGTCATCGAGGTGACCCCTCTCAGGTGACCCCGGCATGTGAGGTGAGGCAGGGCAGGCTGGGGGCCCTCGGGAGAACTCGGGCACAGACGCCTTGGCCAGTGACCCCAGAGTCATTACCTCTTGCTGCTCTCCGACTTCCTTCCTGGCAGGCGGGTGCCGTGGAGGCGCAGAGGTGGCGGGCAGGCAAAGGGGCAGGGTCCTGCCCACCTGCGTGTGGGGAGCGAGTGCCAGCCATGCCCGCGGGAGGGCTGGGAGGGCGGCACAGCAGGGACAGGACGGGGAGAGAGTGTCCGAGTGTGGGGCCGGGCCAGGCGTTCGGGGGAAAGAAAGTCACAGAGCTCCTGGGGCGATGGCAGACAAGGACCCCAGGCACGGAGGAGCAAGCCAGGCCCTGGGAGCGCCTGGGGGAGAGGCAAGTCCGGCTGGGGCGCATGTGGACTACAGCATGGCATTCCAGCGCACATCCCCAGCTGGCCGTAGCAGGCATCGTGGCCGTAGGAGGCAGTGACCCCTGTCTCCCAGGGTCACTGAGCAAATCTAGACAAAGCCTGCTCGCGCACGGTGGCCCGCAGCTGTCCCGGACGGAGCTCCCCTCTGGGGGGTGGTGCACCCCAGCCTCGGCCTCTTCAAACGGAGTGGGCTCACCGGTCACCTCTGTGCGCTGGGGACAGACTCCGCGGGTGCCAGGGACACGCTGGGAGTCGGCCAGGCTCTGCCCATGAGGAGCCCCTGGCCAGAAGACAGGAGGGGAGACGGCCCGGCCCACAGGGGTCCACCACCCCGGGACCTGGGCTCCGAGGGCCCCGCGTGCCAGTCCTCCTGGCACAGCCTCTTCCAAGACCTGAGGCCCCACTGGGACTCCCCGGCCCTCCCTCGCTCGGCCTCTGCCCCCTGCCTGTCCCCGTGGGGTGGGAGGGAACTGGGTCTCTAGTTCTGGTGACCGACGGCAATAAAAAGCCTAATGGCCACAGCGGGAAGAACGAGTGTTTCACAGACAGCAGCGCACGCAGACGCTGGACCCTGGCTTCCCCGACAGCCGTCCCAGGACAGGGCGAATATTGTGTTACTCTGAGAGCTCATCACACCTCCGCCCCACCTCCTGTGGAACGAGCGGGTGGTGGCTGAGCCTGGCGGCGCTTACACAGAGCCATGGAGTCCTGGGCTCGGGGAGCAGGACTGTCCCCCTGCTGACCCCCGCTGCTTTGGGGAAGGCGGCCACGGGCCGAGAGTGGGGTGCCAAAAGCCAGTGGGTGGGGCCCTGTCCTTGCAGGATTCAGGCCTGAAGATGCCCCTGGCTCTGACCCGTCCTCATCCCCAGGCCCAGCGGGGACCCGGTCCCCTGGGGGGGTGGGGGCTACAGGGAGCTGAAGGAGGGTGTGCAAGGTGGAGGCTCAGAGGCGAGCTCAGGACAGCAGCTCTGCAGGAGAAAGCAGCGGGAGCGAAGCCCAGCCGGGAAGGAAGCCGGGCAGAGCAGAGGAGGCCCTGCACCTGCTCAGGCCCAGGCGGCAGGGCAGGCTGCCCCCCACAGCCGCGGTCCCCGGCCAGGGACAGCATGTCCTGCTGCCGGGGGCGCTGCCCGAGCCTGGGGGAGTTCCCAGGACCCTGACTGCGCTCCCCACCTGCAGCAGCACACCAGCTCCCGCCCCCGCCGGGAAGTCCTGGCTTCCTCCTGGGGCATGCTGTGAGTCCTGGTTTGTTCACCAAGTGTGTTGCGTTGCTTGGGAAAAAGCTCTGGGGTAGAGAAGAGTGGCAGGGAGCCCGTCACCCCAGAGGAATGCAGGCGGAGAGCGCAGTGCACGTGTCTCCCGCCTGCCGGCCGCGCAGCCACTCCCGCCCAGCGGAGGCCGGGCACATGGCCCCGCAGGGCCCCGCCAGCGCCTGCCGCAGGGCTGTGCCCGCCATGGCAGTGTCGATGGAGGGAGGTGGGGGGCTGGAAGCGGCGGCCTTCCTTCCCGGCCCAGCGCCTGCCCGGGCTGACTCCAGAGGAGCATGTGCAGTGTCCCCCGGGGGAGCAGCTCCTTCCACAGGCTGAGCAGCCGAGAAGAGGGCCGAGGGGTCAGGGCCAGGCGGAGCGTGGACTCCACCTTTGACCGCAGGGGAGACCCTCGGAAGCAAGCAGGTGCTGGGGGGCGGGGAACACCGCGCGGGTCACCTGGGGACACCTGGGCTCAGGAGGGCAGGGCATGGGCGGGTGCAGATGAGCACAGTGATGTATTCAGACGTCCAGGGCGTACGCGCTGGCCTGGGCTTCTTTTGTGACTTTGAGAGCAGCAGGGGCCTCCTCTCTGGGGATTCTGCACACTCGAGGTAGAGAGCTGGGACCCTGTCCTTGAACGGCTACGGGCCGTCCACAGCAGGCTGCCGGCGGGGCGGGGCAGAGGCCCGCGTGCCTGGAAGTCCTGCAGCCCTGGGTTTGAGCTGGTTCGTTTGCTTGCAAGCAGCTGGTTCTGGCGCATAACTTAAAATCGGTTTCCTCCTCTGCAAAACGGACAAAAAGCATTTGCCCCACAGGCTGCTGTGAGGATTGAACAAGACGACACGGGCTGAGGACTGAGGCGGCGTCTGGGCCCCAGCGGCAGCCAGGAAGGGGGGTCCTCTTGCCCTCACTTCCTCTTTGACCTTGGGGTTCTCCCATTCAAGGCCTAGAGTTCCCCTCTGCCCTTCTGAACTGACTCTGTCTCCTGTAAAACCCAAATCCCGTTAGCCTGGTGTTGTAGTCACCTGCAGTGCAAGAGCCTGTCCGTCTGTCTGTCCGTCCGTCCCACAGTTCCTCAGCCGGTGCCAGCCCAGCCACTCACTCACTCCCCACCCTCACCCTCCCCAGCGCCACCAGGCTGGGCTCTAACTACCCGCACCCGCACTTCGCACCCTTCCTCCAGGCCCAGGGAAAGTCCTGCCGCTTCTTCAGGCCCCGGCTGCCCCCTTCCCGCCTGCGCCGGGTCCCCAGCTGGACGGCAGGCCCTGTGGGCCAAGGCACGAATCCTCCGCCTCGCTGCAGCTCCAGAGGGCAGCCTGGAGTTGCTGCAGTGGGCGCCATCTGCCTTCGCCAGAAACTCGTGGCAGCCGGGGAGGGCTCTGCCCTGGCCTTGGCTTTTCTTTGGGGGCAGGAGACGCTCCCTGCCACCCACACTTTCTCCTGCTGCCCAGCCATCACAGGGCTCTCTCTGATGATGGGGCCAGGGGTAGAATCCTGCTGCAGAGCCCAGCAGGCCTGTCTGCGCGCCCGTGGACATCGGCCGTGTGCACACTCGGCCGGGGCCTCTTCCCTTTCCCCTCAGTCCTGTTAGCCTCAGGCTTTCACTGCCTGAGCGGAGAGGAAGGTTGACTGGGAGCACAGAGTGACTGACTGTCCCGGACCTGCAGGGAGCACAACCCAGGGGCCCGGCGGTGCCAGACCCTGTGTGCGCCGTGCCGTGAGCTTTCCCGAGTGTGCGTATCTAGGACGAAGCTTGATGTACACGTTAGGTACAGCAAGAGATGAAACAGAACCACCATAGCACTGTGCTATAACAAAATGCATGAGGCGTTTATTTCTGGAACCTTCCCTCCTTTTCTTCCCACAGTTGACTATGGGGACTGAAACAGCAGGAAGGGAAACCACGGGTAAAGGGGCCGGGGCAGTGCAGGGCCGGGCACGGGCAGCAGCCAGGGAGTGGACTGCGTGGACTCAGAGGGCCAGGCTGGGCAGGGTGGGCGGGGTGGACGGGAGGGCGGGAAGAGAGCAGCCTGGAATGCGCCATGTGGGTGGCTGGGAGCTGGCGGGAGGCCGAGAGAGACTGGGCCTCCTCCAGCCTGGCTGTCCCGTGTCTGACAGCAGCGGGGAGGAATGCGGAGAAGAAAACAAAACAAACTTTGCCTCCTCTGGCTTGTGCTGGAAAGAAAAACTCACGGTCCCCTCGGTCTCCTCCCCACCCCCTCCGGGCCCCTCTTCCCTGCCACGCCCTCCCGATGGGGCCTGAGAGTCTAGGGATGGGCGCCGGGCCTGTGGTCCAGACAGAGCCACAGCGTGTCTGTCTAACGGCAGCCCGGCCTCTGTCTGCTGCTCTGCCTGTGGGAAGGAGCGGGGAGACCCGTGGGGCTGGGCTGGGGTGCACACAAGCGCCGCGGGTAAACCGCCCTACTGCCTTCTGCCAAGGATGGCGAGGAGCGGCTGTGGAGCTCCGTTTGCTGAGTGCTGATGTGGTGGGGGGCTGCACCCTTATCCGCTTTATTCTGATAATTTCTTGTTAGACCTTACTGAAAATCTCCCAGTGCAGGCATTATTTAAAAGATACCCTCCCTTTCTTTTCATGGTACTGGGGGATCAAACCCGGGGCCTTCGCTCTGAGCTACATCCCCCGACCCGTTTGGGAGGACCCAGGGTCTGAGCCACTAAAGTGCCCAGGCTGGCCTCAGCCTTGCAATCTTTCTGCCTCAGCCTTCCAGAGTGCTGAGATTATAGTACAGTGTGCACCACCGTGGCCGGCAGAATATTCCACTTTTACAGGTAAGGAAACAGTTCGGAAAGCTTAGGTGAGCTGCGTGAAGTCAAGGAGGAGCCAGGGCTCAAACGTACATCATTCTGATTCCAAAGGCAGGGGTTTGTTATTCTAACCCGACCCTGATCCTAACCCAGCCCTGATCCTAACCCGACCCTGATCCTAATCCAAGCCTGATCCTAACCCGACCCTGATCCTAAACTGACCCTGATCCCGACCCTAATCATCTAACCCTAACCTTCTTTTCTTTTCTTTTTTCTTTTTTTTTTTTTTTGACACAGGGTCTTGCTATGTAGTTCAGTCTATCCTTGAACTCACTTTGTAGCCCAGGCTGGCCTTGAATTTGTAGCAATCCTCCTGCCTCAGCCTCCCAAATGCTGGAGTTACAGGGGTGCACCACCATACCTGGTTTAACCCTAACCTTCTAATGGTAACCCTAACGATAACCTTAACCCCTCAGATCCCTCCACTCTCCCACAGGGGCGCTGGGTCCCAGCAGGTGGTCAAGGGCGGTACCAGATGGGGGCCGGTAGCTGCATGTGATTATTTACATTTTTTTTTTATTTACATTAACTGAATTAAATTTAAGTAAAATTTAAGATTTATTCCCTTAGTGGGTTATGCCAGCCCTACCTCCAGGTGCTTGGTGACCGTGTGGCTACGGGGCCAGACAGCACAGAAGGACACTGAGGTCATCCCTGGCCTAGAGCTCAAGGCTGGTTGGCAGACCCAGAGGACCGAGAAGAGATGCCTTCGAGGGGAGACAGGAAGCTGTGGAAAGGAGCTCGGCGGGGGAGGAGGCGACCGAAGAGGAGGGGGAGGAGTTGAGACTCCCAGGCCCGCCCTCCGATACTGATACTCTGGGCAGTGCTCTGAGCAATCCGCTAGGGTGGGGCCGGCCAGGGCAGGTGGGAGGGACCTGCAGGGAGAAGCCACCGCCCTCCTCGCAGATCCTGAGCCCCGGTCCTCTGTCCTTCAGGGGCCCAGGAGCCTGCCCAGCCCTCCTTGGCTGCCCAGGCACGGTCCGTCCACGGCAGCTTCCTGCTCGCTCATCCAGGCCGGGAGCCAGCTCATGGGCGGCCGGGCCCCCACCTCTCAATTAGCCTCATTAGCTGCTTGCTCACCCTGCGGACTCTGGGTCACCTCTGGGGGAGGGGCTGTGAGCAGCCCGTGAGTAACTGAGGCCCAGCTGTGACAGGGGTCCCCAGCCCAGGCTGCCCAGGCCGAGCTGTGCTACCCCCAGCGTCCACGCCTTCCCTGGAGTCACCCAGAGGGAGATGTCAGGCAGCCAGGGCCGAGGGACAGGTGACAGGCACGTGGCAGGCTGGCCTGGGCAGGGGCAGCCGGGGAGAGGCGGTGGGGCGCAATGCTCCCATCCAAAGGAAGAAAGTGGAGGCGAGGGCTGGGCCCCGCGGGACCGGGCAGACGGGGATGGGTCCCCAGGGAGCGGCAGGGGGTCCTCACCATGCAGTCACCACGCAGTGGGGTGGGACAAGGAGCTTCCCAGCTGCAGAGGGAAAGCCCAGACGCCCACGGCCGTGAGGACAGGAGGGTGGGAGTCGCACAGGCCGAGATGGGGGGGCAAACTGAAGCAGCCAGGCGACCGGGTCCCCGGGTGAGACGGCCGCCCCCGAGTGGGTGGCCGTGGGGCAGGGCGCCGAGTTCTGGGTTAGCCAATGAGGAGCCAGCGGAGGCCAGCCAGGTGGCAGATGCAGGTCTCGTGACCCCGGGTCCCCCACACCAGGGCACCATTGTTGCTGAGCAGGCAGATGCACGGGCTGATTGCTTCAGCTCCTCCCGGCCACACCAGCTTCCCCCAGGCACCCACCCCTCGGCCCCTCCCCTCCCCCAGTGACTCCTGCCCAGGGAATGTCCAGCCCTGACATAAAGGCCCGGTGTCCACGGGCTGCTGCCAGTCAGAGGCTGCACCGTCCACGATGGGCTCCTCGCGGGCACTGCAGGCGGGGTGTGTGGGAGGGCACGGGGTGACGGTCTTGCTGCTGGCTGGTCTCCTCCTGCCAGGTAGGAGGCTGGGACCCGGAGGGTGGGGAGAAGGGATGTGGACCCCGGGGGCAGGGCTGGCTCAGCGTGCAGGATCTCAGGACAGAACCGGGCAAGGGGTCAGTGCAGGGCGCTGGAACCTGACCTTTGAGTCCCAAGGCTGCTCCTCGAGACCTTGTCCCCTTGGGCGAATTACTTAGACTCTCGGACCCTCAGGTTCTGAAACTCTATTTTTTTGGTCTTATTTATTTATTTATTTATTTATTTATTTATTTATTTATTTATTTTTTAAGACAGGGTCTTGCTATGCAGTTCAAGCTGCCCTTGAGCTCACTTGTAGCCCAGGCTGGTCTCGAACTTGGAATGATCCTCCTGCCTCAGCCTCCCAAGTGCTGGGATTACAGGCGTGCGCCACCTGAAACTCTAAACGGGCTTTGTAACAGCACCTGCCTGAGCCTCTGGTGCATCTCAGCCCTGCGTGTGACTTGTGCTCCAGAAGTTCTAGAGGGCTGGGTCCATGTTGTTTTTATGGTGATGATGCCGGTGCTGGGAGATGGAGATTAGATATTCCATAGTCATAAAAACGGCTACTGTTCTTAGAGTCCCTGTTCTGTCCTCACAGTAGTTTTCATTGTTACCAGAACCGAGGGAGAGACCTTTTACTCCCACTGCGGATAAGGACCCTGAGGCTCAGGGCTCAGGAATGGGGCTGAGGGTCACAGTTAGGAGCAGCGCAGCCAGGTTCACACTCCAGGCTGGGCGGCAGGCCGGCCGTGCCCTCTGCTGCTGTGAGTTCGCAGCCCGAGAGGCGTCTGTGTGACCTTCCCCGCGGGCCGGGGCCAGGAGCCGAGCGGGGTGTGCGGCGCCCACTGCCCCACGGGGAGCCCTGGCTGACTTCAGGTGGAGGCGTGGCAGGTGCAGGGAGGCGCTCGCAGAGGACGGGGGTGGGGGGGCGCACAGCTTGTGGAGGGCTGGCGCTGGCAGGGCTTGGGGTGAGTGACCACAGTGAATCACAGCGGCCGGGGCTGTCTGGATTTAAGAGCATCTTCTGGGTGACCTCACGGAGCTCCGCAGGCGAGAGGAAGCCGATCTGGTCTCTTGGCGTCGGGAGAAAGCCCAGAGGGGCCTCACAACTTGTGGCGTGTGGCTCTGCCCACGCCTCGGGGGACCTGCAGGGCCCCCGGAGAGCGTAAGGAGAGGCTGTGGGGAGGAGGCCGGGGTCGGAGTGGTCAGTGAAGGGAGGAAGTGGCTCTGCCGCTGAGGGGGCGAGGGCTGGGTGGAGAGCAGCTGGCCATGGTCACTGGCTCGAGGAGGCTTTCACGTCCCTGTCCCTGGGCTGGGCCCGCGAGCACAGGTGGGGGCGTGGCGCCCTGTCACACTGGTCCTGGCAGGTTTTGAAGCAACAGTGAGTGCCCCCACATCCTGGCCCCTGCCCAGCTTGACTGGCGCGGCCAGCACCGACACGGGAAGCAGGATTCCCATCCGGCACCCAGCCTGGGTTCTCCCCAGAGAGCTGGTGACAACGCCAGCCCTCAAGCACCCTGTTCTTGTGCCGGCCCTCTGCCACTGGCTTCTCTCCCCGGCATCTCTTTTCATGTTTTTCCTCCCCTCAGCCTTCTACTGCTTCCCCTTTTATCTTTTCCTATTCGGTCTCATGGCCTGGCTCTGGATTATCCTCATGATCACTTTTTTTGTTGTTTTTTTTTCTGGTACCGGGGATGGAACTCATGAACTTGCGCTTGCCAGGCAAGCTCTGTGCCACTGAGCTAAATCCCCAGCACCCCATGATCACTTTTTGAACTGTATCTCCAGTCCTTTTTTAAATTTTTAATTTTTTTTTTTTTGTTTTTTGTTTTTCTCTCGTACCAGGAACCAAACTCACAACCTTGCCCTTGCCAGGCAGGCGCTTTGCCGCTGAGCTAAATCCCCAGCCCCCAAATTTTTAATTTTGAGATAGGTTCTCTGTAAGTCACAAAGCTGCCCAGGCTGGGACCTGAGATCCTCCTGCCTCAGCCTCCCAGAGCACTGGGATGACAGGCGTGTGCTGCCACGCTCGGCTGGCCCTGGATTTTTCCCTCCGGATTTCTCTCTCTGTCCCTCCCAGCCCCCACCTCCGCCTTCTTTCAGGCCCACTTGCTCCCCTTTGCTGTTATCTGTGCCTGGCATGCTGGATTTCACTGTCTGTGTTTTGGTAAATGGTCAACTTCCTCCCTACTCAAACCCTCCCTCCTAGGACAGCTGTCCTTCTACCACTTCGTGTCCTTTAGCGACAATGGCCACGTCTCTCTTTTTTCTGCCTCAGCACTCTGCTGGGTTCCTCTCGGGAGAGACCAGAGTGGCAGAGGCTGACGTGGGGCGGTGGGCAAGGGAGACAGTAGGGCCCCTCTCTGGCCCTGCCTGACCGCTGCTTCTTTCCCCAGGGACTTTGGCTAAGAGCATCGGGACCCTTGTAGGGCCCTGCAAGGACCCCACGCGGATCACCTCGCCCAACGACCCCTGCTTCCTTGTAAAGGGCGACTCCAGTGCTGGCAGTGTCAGCAGCCACGGTGGCTCCAGCGGCACTTTTAGCAGCTCCGTGTCCAGCTCCGGCGGTGGGCCCGGCAGACCCAGTGTCTCCCAGGGTGGCTCTTCAGGAACTGTGCTGTTTAAGCCGGGGCCGGGCTATTCCCAGACCAGCTACTCCTCTGGGTCCAGCTCCAGCTACAGCGCTCAGGGCAACTCCGGCTCTTCCCAGTCGGGAAGCAAAAACCGCGGGCCAGGGAACGGCTCCGCTCTGCCAACCGATGATGACTCCTCGCACTCAGCGTCGAGCTCGTCCCAGTCCCAGTCCCAGTCCCAGTCCCAGTCCCAGTCCCAGTCCCAGTCCCAGTCTGGAGGAAGCTCGTCCACCTCCCAAACCTCTGGGTCGTGGGGCAGCTCCAACCTGCGGCCCTGCAGCTCCGACATCCCTGACTCTCCCTGCAGCGGGGGGCCCGTGGTCTCACACTCCGGGCAGTACATCTCCAGCTCCCACTCCGTCTCGGGCGGGAAGAGGCCCGTGGTGGTGGTGGTGGAGCAGCATGGCTCTGGGGGTCCCGGAGCGGTCCAAGCTGTCCCTTGTAGCAACGGTGGCCTCCCGGGCAAGCCCTGTCCTCCCATCACCTCTGTGCAGCAGCCCTACGGGGGCTACGAGGTGGTGGGCGGCTCCTCCAACAGCTACCTCGTGCCAGGCATGACCTACAGCGGGGGCAAGATCTACCCCGTGGGCTACTTCACCAAGGACAGCCCGGTGAAGGGCGCCCCAGGGGCCCCCGCGCTTGCAGCTGGGCCCCCGGTCTCCGAGGGCAAGTACTTCTCCAGCAACCCCATCATCCCCAGCCGCCCGGCCACCGGTTCCTTCCAGTCGGGAGTGCCCCCCGCCATCGCCTTCCAGCCCGTGGGCTCCGGCGGGGTCCAGCCCTGCGGAGGCGGCCCCACGGGCTCTAAGGGGCCCTGCGGGCCCTCGGGTTCTGTCGTGCACATCAGTTCCGGCATTTCCAGTGGGTCCAGCTCCTCCTACCACCCCTGCGGAGGTTCCCTCCAGGGCCCCTGCTCCCCACCTGGCCCCGGCTCCTTCAGCGGCAGCTCCAGCTCCCTGTCGGGCACCAAAGTCATCCTTCAGCCCTGTGGCAGCGTGTCCGTGCCCGCTGGCCACCCTTGCATTTCTGTGTCCTCTTCGACCTTGAGCGGGCGTCCTGACGGCTCTCCTCTGCCCGACCCCTCTGCTGGTGCCAAGCCCTGTGGCCTCCACAGCTCCGGAAGGGTCCCCTGCCGCTCCATCCGGGACATCCTGGCCCAAATACAGCCGCTGGGGCCCCAGCTGCCCGACCCCGCCGTCTTCCTACCCCAGGGAGAGGAGCCTGCGAGTTCCTGAGCCAGTTTCAGATGCACGTGCACGGAACACACGTATACACACGGCGCACACACGTGCACACACGTGCACACACGCCAGCTCCCAGCTGGGAGACACTGGCCGGCCGGGCTCAGCCCCCTTCCCCCGCCCCCAGCCGCTCTGCTTCCTCCACTACTCCAGCGCCAGAGTCCCTGGTCACCCTCCGGTGTCCGTCGTGTGCAGGGCTCCCAAGCCCTTTCCCGCTTCTCCCCCGCTGCCCGGCTGTGACCCGCCGCTCTGCCATCTGTGCCAGGTCGCACGGCCCGGCCGGCTCTCCTGCCGTCTCTGGGACGACCAGGACGCGCCCCGGCTAAGCCCCCTGTTCAGGGTCTCGGCTGGAAACCCCCGAAACGCTCTCAGCCCTCTGATGCCGGAGACATCACCCCTGACTCCCCCTCTGCCAAATAAAGCAAAGTCCAAGCCATTCCCCAAACAACGCCCAGGGCTCCCGGAGCTCGGCCAGCCTGCAGCGCCGTCGGGTTATCTGTGTGAGGACGAGCAGGCGTCGGGGGTCGCAGGTGTCTTGGAGACAGAAGCAGCGGCCTGCTCTCCCCGGATCCCGGACACTGCTCAATAAACTGCTGCAACTCGATCAGACGCCTCGCCTTCTTGGAGTTCTGGGTCTCCTCTTGGGACCTCTGGCGCCTCCAGAGGTGCCCGTGCCCCTTGTGTTCATTGCTAGGGTGACCCACTATTTTCTCACCTTACCGCGCCTCCCTCTCACCAAGAGCAGAAACAATAATTATCTAAGTGGGAGCAGAGGCTGCGAGCTCCCCGAGGCAGGCTGTCTCTCCTCTCGCTGCAAACCCGGTCTCCTCCCCACTCACTGCAGGGTCCTCTGCACCAGCCCCTGCCCCTTCTGCTCCCCTGAGAAAGTGTCCCACCTTCTGGCACCATCCTCACTGGGACCCCGCACCACGTCCTAGGTTTCCGGGACACCCGGAGCCTCGGGAAGGCTGGGACGCAACTCCCCGGACAAGATTCCTGGGGACTGAGTAGGAGTGCGGCTGTTGGGAGCAGAGGGCGGAGCAAGCAGGCCGGACGGCGTGGGAAGGAGGGCAAGCGAGGGAGCTCGCAGCCCCGGCACAGGAGCGCGAACAGCGCCCTCTCCGCCTCCCGCTCCTCGGGCGGCTCAGGCTGCGGCCCAGGGGACAGCTTCGGGCGCCTGCCGGGAGCCGGCGGAGCGCTGCGTAGGGAAGGGCAGGTGGCTTCCAGGGAGAGGAGAAGGCGGCCTGCGTGCGGGGCCACGTGACTTCTCCCCTGGCAGGATGGGGGCGTGGGTCCCTGTGGAAGGGGGTCCCTTTGAGCGTGGGAATCGCCCCCACGGAGGAGCCAACCCATTTTTTTTCCTGTTGGGGGTGAATAAACTGGTTCTGAGTTTGTTTGTTCTTTTGTTTCTTTCACTACTGGAGCTGAACCCAGGGCTTTCCCACTGAGCTATATCCCTGGCCCGTTTTTATTTTTTGTTTTGAGACAGGCTCTCAGGAAGTCACTAAACTGCCCAGGATGGGCTTGAACTTGTGATCCTCCTGCTGCAGCCTCCCAAGTGCTGGGAGGACAGGTGTGTGCCGCCACTCCCAGCTGTTCCTGAGTTTAGAACTGTTGAAATTCCGAATCCAGAACCAGCAGCACGTGTTATATTAACTAGAAGTGATTTGGGACTACCGAGCCCGGCTTCAGGGCTCACCAGAGCCAAAGCCTGGCTGCAGGCAGCCCTGTTTCTGCCGCCACTGCAGCGTCACCCACGGCCCAGCATCTGGACCCCGGGCTGCAGCCCGCAGCAGGAAGCAAGGCCCAGGATGGGAATTGCAGAGGGAGAGGGAGGCCCCGGATGTGGGGTTCCTCTGGTCTAGTGTGGTTCAGGCTAAAAGCCTCTGTAAAATTGGTGGATGTCACCCAAAAAGCCTCCTGAGCTCCCTCCCTTGGCCGGTTCTGCAGAGGAACACGATCTTCTGGCCATGAGGACAGAGCATGTTTCCCTTGGGCAGGCGGGGAGCCTACCTGGTGGCTTTCTAGAAGAAATGGTGAGGACAACACTGTAAAATTTTCAAACAGGCTCATATCAGTCTATGTTCTGCTGCTATAACAAAATACCTTAGCTTAGGGGCTGGGGATTTAGCTCAGCGGCACAGCGCCTGCCTGGAAAGCGCAAGGTCGTAAGTTTGATTGCTGGTACTGGAAGGAAAAAAAAACACCTTAGGTTCGATAATGTGTGAAGAATAGAAGTTCATTTAGCTCACAGTTCTGGAAGTTCAAGAGCATGGTAAGGGCCCCCTGGGCTGTATCAGAAGCTGGCAGATGGCATCATGGAGGGAATGCGCTTGTGTGTGTGTGTGTGTGTGTGTGTGTGTGCGAGAGGGAGAGGGAGAGAGAGAAAGATTACAGGGCAAGGCAGGATGCAGGATGCCAGAGTTGCTCTGGGACTGGCTCAGTCTTTTTGTAACAATCCACACTCACGGGAAGCAGTGTACCCCTAATGACCTGATCACCTGTCACGCCCTCAGTGTCACCACACGGGGGACTGAGCCCCTGCACATGGACCTTCGGAGACCCACTCCAACCAACGCAAACCACAGCCACACCTACGGGCACACAGACACCGAACGTGTCCCTGTGTCTCATCATTCTATCGCAGCAGCGATCAAGTCATGGCGGTTTGACGACAGTGTCTCAGTGCCCCCGCTGTGCTTGGCGATAGCTGCTCTCTCTCACCTCTTGCATTCTGCTCAGGCTCCTGACCACGTGTGTTAGGCAGAATGGTGCCTTCACCCCGGGACCCCCAAAGATGTCCGGGTCCTCATCCCTGGAATCTGTGCCTGTGTTAGATTTCATAGCAAAGGAAAATAAGGAACTAAGGTTGTTAGTCAGTTGGTCGTCAACTAAGGGATTATCCAGGATTATCTGGGTGGATCTAATATAATCACAGGGTTTTAGCATGCGGGCATGGGTGGCAGGAGAGGAAGCCACACGGTCCGATGTGGGAAGAACGTGTTGGTTGGGGCTTTGAAGATGAACCAAGGGAACCAGGAGCCTAGGAACACTTTCCACCCAGAGAGACCCATTCTGGACTTTCGAGCTCGAAAACTTTAACGACACGTTGTGCTGTACGCCAGTGAGTTTGTGGTACTTTGCTAGAACAAAAAGCAGGAAACTAGTATGCCATCAGCTCATAAGAATGGGACCTGACCTGTTTCCTAGGAATAGTGGACGTAGGAGCAGCCCCTCAGATGGGGCTACTTCTGTACCCCAGAACCTCCTGCAGATTGGGATTAAGGTGAAGGAGATATCAGGATGAATGACAGAGGGGGCTGAGAGAATTATCTGGATCCTAGAGAGGGAGATAGAGAGAGAGAGAGAGAGAGAGAAAGAGAGAGAGAGGAAGCAAGAACTTTTTAATTGTTGAAAGAAGCAGTGACGACGCTGGGACCCTAAAGATGCAGGTCCCTGTGGGCCTCGTGCGGGGGACCAGGGAGGGGCAGGGCTGGCAGCTCCGGATAAGCCACAGACCAGGACACCCGGGCAGGAAGGGGCAGGGAGCTCAAGGAGAGGAGCCAAGCCGGGAAACACCCAGCTTCCTTGGGGACATTCAAGTGACACCTGTTGCCACAGACCGTGTCGAGAATTAGGGTGGGATGAGGCGATCCATTGTCTCCACAGGCCCCGGCCCAGCCTGTTTCCGTGTCCCCCGCCCCACCGACAGGATAAAGGGGCTGCGGTCCTGGGCCCCAGGGAGACGCTGGTGCCGAGCAGGATGCAGGGCCGCGTGGCAGGGAGCCTGGCTCCTCTGGGGCTGCTCCTGGTCTGTCTGCATCTCCCAGGTACGGAGGCTGCGCCTGGCCTTGGGCCGGAGGGCACTGGACCCCCCGGGACTGGAAATAGGGGAAAGGGTCCATGCTTGGGTCTCGGCTGAGGGAAGGGAAGGGAAGGGAACGGAAGGGAAGGGAAGGAGTTGGTCCCATACGTCCATGGCTGCTTTGTCTCCCCGCAGGCCTCTTTGCCCGGAGCATTGGTACAGCAGAGGAGAAGGCTTCCCTGCACCCCAGGGCTGATGTGCCCGCTCTGGGACAGCCTCCCTTCACCGGCCCCTTGAGCGCTAGACACGCCCAGCCCCACGCCGACCCAGGGCCGCATGATGTTCCCGGGGCTCCTGCACAGTTCAGCGTGCCTCCACCAGGTGGCCCCCAAGCTGCAGGACGTGCAGGGAGGCAGACCCTGTCCTGGGGGCTGCCCCCCACGGAGTCCTGGCCTGCTGAGGTCCCTTGGCAGGTGATGGCCGCGGCAGCTGAGGACCCTCTGGAGCAGGCGCTGCCCGAGGAGCCGGCTTACCTTTCGGGCGCCGGTGCACTCCCTCCGGGCAGCGAGCCGTGGCCTGTGGCGTTCTCTGCCAAAGCTGCACAACCCTCATCCGAAGCTTCGCCCGTCCACCTGGACTCGGCAGCGAACCGGCTGACCCTCGCCACTCCGCTGGGGGTCTCGGGAGACCTCCTTGCCCAGCGCCCGTTCTGGTCTCTCATCTACAGGCTTCTGCCTCGTCTGCCCTGGGGGGCTCTGAATCCCAGTATGCCTTGGGGAGGTGGGGTTCTGGGGACCGGATGGGGAACGAGGCCCATGCCCTACCCTTCTGGACCCTGGGGTGTCAACAGTAAGTTCCCAGGAGGCAGCTGGGGGAACATTAACCGGTATCCAGGAGGCAGCTGGGGGGGCACTAACCGGTATCCAGGAGGCAGCTGGGGGGGCACTAGCCGGTATCCAGGAGGCAGCTGGGGGGGCACTAGCTGGTACCCAGGAGGCAGCTGGGGGGCAGGCAGCTGGGGGAACAACAGTCGGTACCGAGGTGCTGGTGGGGGGAACGTTCCTCCCGGAGTCGTCCGTCCTCTCGGCCCTTCCTGGTACATCCCCGCCGGCCTCTCTGATCCGCAGAACCCGGGCTTGCAGTAGGGTTGGAGCTGAGCTCGGGGAGCCTGAGGAGGGCAGTCAGGACGGGGCGCTGCTCCTGCCCTCGCCCTGCGGGCGGCACCAGGCCTGGTCACTTGCTTTGCAGCCCGTGCTTCACTCCCCCGCCCCACACCCCCATGCTGATCTCCAATAAACACAGCAGTCTTCCGCCTTGCTGCGGCTCTGTGTCTTTGTTTCTGGGTGTAGACCAGAGTGTGCGTGGTCCCTCCCCACTGTCCGGCCAGCCCCACGTCTCTCGGGGTCCCCTCTCCCCCAGGCGCTAGAGGGTGGCGCCCTTGGTCTCCCGCTCAGGCTCAGGGGCAGGCCGGAGCTGGTTCCCCCACGGTGCTGGGATTGGACAGGGGGAGGAGGGGAACGGGGGCGCGTCGGCGGAGGTCAGGAGCCAGCACGGAGCCAGCATGGGGCCAGGCTGGACGGACAGACAGACTAAGGGATGGAAGCCCTCCCAGTCACAGCTGGCTCCTGAAAGCCACGGTGTCTGTGCCTGAGCGGAGGACGACTCATCTCCCAGTGCACATCCCTCAGCGCTCTGTCCGAGGGCCCGTGGACTCAGCTGAGGCTGAGTGAATCCAGCCCGGGACAAGGAGGAGGGAAGGGGCGGGGAGGGCGAGGAGCTGCGCCTGCCGCCTCGCTGCTGCTTTTCTGCCTGTGGGACTATGCAGCCCCTTCCTCCCGCCCGGCCCGGCCCCCTCCCCTGGGTCTCCCAGCACACAACCGGAGCGAGGCCAGGGAGGCCGGGCAGAGTCTGCGGGAGTGAGGTGAAGGCGCCTTCTAGGCTCCTTTGCCATGTGTGTACTCGGCCCTGGGGATGCAGGTGCTGCGCCCACTGTAGAGCTGGGCTCCCAGGTCCAGGGCGCTGGGCAGCTCTGGGCAAGGAGGCCGGAGGAGGACGAACCAGAGCCAGGGTCGGGCGCCACCCAGCAGGAGGGGCGTCTCCTGGCTGGTGTCTGCCCTGAGCATCCCTCTGGGCTCCTGCAGCCCCCCTCCTCCCGGCCACACCTCCTCCCACTCAACCCCTGCTCTTCCCAGGCCCAAGCTCCCGCTTTCAGGATTGGGGGCTGGTTCTTCTCTATCGCTCTTCTGGTTGCCCCACTCACTCTTATTTGAGTCTTGTTCTTCCTGTCTTGGGGCTCAAACCCAGGGCCTTTGCACTGAGCTACACTGCCACCCTTTCTATTCTGAGACAGAGTCTCCCTAAGTCTCTAAGTGGCCCAGGCTGGGCTACAAACTTCAGTCCTCCCACCTCAGCCTCCCAGAGTGCTGGGATTACAGGTGTGTGTTGCAACACCAGGCAAGGACCTCGAGGTTCTGCATCAGCAGTCCCCGGCTCCGTTCCCCAGGGGGCGTTGTCTGCCTGCTACCTGCTGCAACCCAGCACCAAGAAGAGTGCTCAGCAAACACTGAGCAAGCAGGGGAGTCCCCTCTGCCTCTCCCTCTCTGTGGCCTCCAGATGCCCATGTGTTACAGGCTCGGCCCCATCGTGGCTGTCCTGGGAGGTGGTGGAAAGTGTAAGAGGACGTGGTCTCCAGGTCGCTGGGTGCCCTGGAGGGGGGCTGTGGGACTTCAGCCCTTCCCTCTCTCTCTGCGCTCCCCCCAGGAAGTAAGTGGTTTTGCTCTGGCACTTGCTTCCTCCATGACGAGCTGCCCCCCACTGGCCCAGCCCACCATGGACTGAGCTTCCCAAACCGTAAGCCAGAATAAGCCTTTTCTTGTTGTGGACTGATCACCTCAGGAGTGTTGTGGTGGAAAGCTGCCTAACACCTCGTCTCGGCTGTTTCCCTTCTTCCCCTCTGTTCCTGAGCCACCCAGCTGCACACAGAGTCTGATCTGAACCCTCCCCACCGCCTCCCTGACGTTCCCGCAGCTCACAGTGGCCCCCCCACAGCCCGTCACTCAGCCCTCATCACTGTGTGTGGCGGAGGTGCTGTACAGTTCTTTCTACCGATGGAAACACAGGTCAAAGAGATCAAGCACCTCACACACGCTCACAAGTGACAGGCGGTGCTTCTGACCTCATTTTTCTTGTCCATCCAAGGAGTGTTCAAGCACAATATGCAATTAGCAGAAATACCAGTCAGCACTTTTTTTCTTTTTTTTTCTTTTTTTTTTGTCTTTTTGACACGGTCTCACTGTGCAGTTCAGTCTGGCCTTGAGCTCACTTTGTAGCCCAGGCTGGTCTCGAACTCGCAATGATCCTCCTGCCTCAGCCTCCCGAGTGCTGGGATTACAGACTCAATTAGCTTTTGTTACATGCACCAGGTTCTGGACAAGGGGTTTTCTCATGAGCCTGGGTGCTGCTGTTCCCCACAGCTCACCAGGAAGGCACTGTGCGTCCCTTGTACAGGGAGAGACTGAGGCCCCGAGTGGGCCAGAAGCCAGGGCTGGGGACATAGCTCAGTGGCACAAGCACCTGCATGGCAAGCACAAGGTCCTGAGCTCAATTCCTGGTACTCCCACTCCAAAAATAATAAATAAATAAATTGAAAAAACTATGTACGTTATTGAAAGCAGGGTGGAAAGAGCAGGAGTTCAGAAGCTGGAGGACCGGAGACCCTGCCGGGCACACAGCCTCAAGCAAGCCCGTCAGCTCTGCAGACCTCTGTCTCTTGGTCTGTGAAATGGGATGAGAGCAAATGTCTGGCCTACTCCGCAGGGCTGCTATGAAGTTTTATTAAGACAGTGATAAGGCGAGTTTGCGACTGAAAGCCCTTTGCGACCAAAGCCAGTGGTGCGTTGTTGTGAAGGCGAGGTCTTAGCCCACGCCGGGAGATGCTTCCGGAAGACCGTGCAGACCGCACCCAGGGCTCCTGTCCCCCTCGGGAGCAGCGGCTCCCTCTCCCGGCTTCCATGTCCCAAGGGGCCGGGCAGTACCCGGTTCCCGCCTCTTCATGATGTGAATTTGCTGGCCACTGTGTGATAAGCACAGAAGTTGCTTTCCTGGCGGGGCAGCCTCGATAGAGGAGTCTCCTGAGCTCCTTGTCACCCTTCTCTGGAACTCGGCCGCGGGCTTGGTCATGTTTCCCAACGAGGGGTCCCTGAGTTCGGGGCCTCAGCGCCTCTGCCTCGGCAGCGCCAGCCTGGGAACTGCTGGGAAGCGGGCCACACGCCAGCGCCCGCCCAGCCCTCTGCTCAGCCTCAGGGTGGGCGCAGCCGCTGGCACCGGCTTTGATGACCCCGGGCCACTCTCCACACCTGCCCGGTGGACCAGGGGAAATAACCGCACCTTGCGGCTGGCCCAGGAGCTGGAGTCTTTCACTCTGGGAGGTGGGGGGAGCCAAGGGGGAGCGTCCTCAGCGCGTGTCCCTGGGCGACAGCCCTGACAGTCAGGCGCCGTTCACCCCCTCACCCTTCACTCTTGGCCCACAGGGCCGTAGCAGCGCCTGCACCCACCGCAGCCCTGGGCTTAGGAGTCACGAGGTAATTCTGCTCTCAGGCCCACGCCCCGGTGACCCGTCGGAGGCCTTTGCGTCCAGAGCGGGCAGCACGAGGGCAGCAGGAGTGCCCTTCCGAAGGCAGTTGGTGGGTTGGGCGCGTCTGCCCGCAGAGCAGACCCATGGCCACGGCCAGGCTTGTGCTTTTCCCTGAGCCCCGAGGAGGGGAGTCCGTATGCTCACACCCGCAGCTGTGTCCGCCTCTGCCTGTGTGGAAATTGCACCAGGAGGACATGCGGACCCTGTGAGCGGTTCTGCCACCCAGCACACAGCTGTCCAGCCGCCAAGTGGTACGCGTGTCCATGCTGTGCGCCTCTCACTGTTAACCCTTTCTGTTAGGGGAGCAGACACAGCGCCTGCATCTGCAGTCATCACCAGGCGGCTGCATCCGTCTGTCTGTGCGCTTCTGTGAGGGGCACTGTCATGAAGCTCACACACAAGCTCTTGTGCAGGTGTCTGGGCTTTCATTCTCTGAGGGTTTCCCCTATAGATGTGAAGCAGGAGATTAGGACCGGGACAAAGGGGTCCAACAGCAGGGCGGGTGTGTCACCGTCGCGGGGACCAGGGGACAGTGAACACAGTCCGTGAGGACGGCAGCCCCCAAGCACGACGCAGAGCCAGTCAGAAAAGTGCTGCTCTCGAATCTTCATGCACACAAGGGGGGCCAAGCGCATCTTCACAGGGCACAGTTTAAGTTCGGTGCGGGCAGGGGAGCCTTGGAGGGGACCAGCGTCCAAGGCTTGGGTCCCTGAGGGGGCTCCAGGCCAGGCGTTTGGAGCAGCAGACCCCAGTCCCCCGCTGCTCTCTGCTGCGCTGTGGGCTTTTCCCACTACCTTGCCCGTGTGTCTCCTTCAAGTCTTTGCTCAGGACGCCAAGAACCCGGAAGGAGTCCCTGGGGCCCACCCTGGTGATGGATGAGCTGCCGCCTCACGCGCTGACTCTGTGTCCAGCCCATCCCACTGCAGCCGCACGGTTTCACGTTCATCTCAGCTACGTAGTGCTACAAGCGTGGTTTCCTTCTTTTTTTTTTTTTTTTTTGTAGTACTAGGAATTGAATTCAGAATCTTCACGTTGAGCTACATTCCCCAGCCCTTTAAAAATATTTTTTAAAAAATAAGCTGGGCATGGGATTACGCCTGTAATCCCAGCAGCTCGGGAGGCTGAGGCAGGAGGATCGTTGCGAGTTCAAGACCAGCCTGGGCAAAGTGAGCTCAAGGCCAGTCTGAACTGCATAGTGAGAACCTTTTCCAAAAAAAAAAAAAAAAAAAAAAAAAAAAAAAAAATTTTTTTTAAATATTTTGAGACAGGATCTTGTTAAATTGCACAGGCTAAGTTCAAACTTTCACTCTTCCTACCTTAGCCTTCTGGCTGGGATTGCAGACCTGTGCCACCACCCCTGGCATATTTTGTACATTCTTGTCAACAGTTGTTGTTATCTGTCTTTTTTTTTTTTTTCCAGTACCAGGAATTGAACTCATGACCTCGCGCTTGCCAGGCAGGCGCTGTGCCGCTGAGCTAAATCCCCAGCCCCCTATCTGTCTTTCATTATAGTCAGTGAGCATGAAATTGTACCCCACTGGGGAATAAAACTCTTTTCAGGGGCACCTCTTTCACAAGGACTTTAGAATTTCAATCTATGTTTGTGCTAATGGAAAATTTCTTTAAAACTCTCTTGAATGGCACTGCCTAATCAATTTTCCTTTCACCATGTTATACTGACCT